TGAACTTTGGAAAAGGTTTATGATGAAATAGTTCTTAGGTCCAGGTAGTTTGTTATATGGGAGTTGTGGAAGAAGGATTTGGGAAGAAGAGAGAGAGAGAGAATAAGCGGTAGGATATAAAAAGGTGTAATAAGAAATAGAGGAGGAAGGAAAGAAAGGTTCGGGAGATTATTCAAATTTATTACCGATCTTTGAAAAGGAATCTATTCCCTTTTCTTTTCTAACTTTCACGTAACTTTCATCTAAAACATCTTCATTGTGAAAGTGCAGCTTGCACTTCCACATCCGAGAAACGTTTCATCAATCCCTATTCCCACGAGTTCTCGTCTACGGGAGTATCGATTCCTTTTCACGGATGAACAGATTCCAAGCAGAATTTCAAAGTCAACCAATTTTCCTCGAAGTAATCGTCCTAGATACACATTTCTCGACAACAACGCACCGACTTCCACCACGATTATCGACCACGATTTATCTTCCGCGGAGATGGCCGTGGACAAAGCTGACGCCCGTCCGATATTTGATCGCTAACACAACACCGCTATCGAAACTTTGTAATTCCTCGACAACGTATTCGATCAAATTCACCATTTTCACTCTCCACTTCAAAATTACGAAACAATTCCAATTTTTTCTCGTTCTTCACAGGCGAATGAACGAACGAATCCTAACCTTTTCCTTAACTACGATCGCTCTCCAAAATACCGCGTATTGACGAGCGATTCGAGTTATCGTACATCGAGTACATCTTTCTCTGTAAAGTATTCTTTATCATTTGTTTCTCCTCCATAATAAAAATCACCAAAAAAAAAAAAAAAAATGCCGTAAACGATCTTTCTCGAGTGCACATTTTCGACGAAATCGGTGGTAGCGAAAGGGTTAAAAAAGGAAAAAGAAAAAGAGAAGAAAAATCTTCCCAACGGATGAAAAGACAAGCACGCGGTTACCCTAATAGCATCGTGGCATCGTAGCTGGAATCTCTCTCGGAGATCGAAAATAAAAATCTCTCGAGCAGTTTGAGAGAGTGGAAGAGGGCAGGCATACAATTAACATCACCGGCACGCGGTAGCCCGATAATTATTGTTATTATTACTGCACGGCTGTACGGCGGATTGCAACCGAGATTGCAACATAGTTGCACGGAGGCGGTGTGTCCGGGCCGGGTCGATTCGTTTATTCGGGGCAGAGGTCACGCGGCGGCCGTTTCCCCGGAGGACTTCCTTCTACGAGCGTTCTCCTCCCCGATCTCTCTCTCTCTCTCTCTCTCTCTCTCTCTGCTCGAAGCCTCTACGCGGTCTTGAACTTTGTCTCCTTTCTATCGGCGCGGTTGATCGGCGGGGCCGATGCATGCGAATCGTGCAATTAAACGGTTGGAAAGTGAAGGGTTGGCCGTTAGGCTTCCATGCTCGCGGCGATAAATAGGCGCGGCGCGTACACACGGCGTGGGTACGCGTGGGTGGGAAGAGAGGCTCGTGATCGAAGGATACGTACGAAAGGATGCGATGCACTTACCTAGATAGTCAGATTGGCGACCGGCCAGGTAGGGGTTGGTTGCGAATCTCGCCCCCTTTTTGCTTCCCCCTTCGAGGTCGATGCCGCTGCTTTTTTTCTCCCCTCCCCTCTTCTTTCCGCGGTGCAGCGACGTGGTCGATCACCAGCGGGTGGTCGACGCCGCTCGTTAACCTCTTAACACAAGAGGAGTTCTTTTTTCCCCGCGCTTGGTTATCCTGCTGGTGGTCCGAACAAACTTTTTCACTAGGCTAGGGGCGTCTGGAAATTGACCAGGTTCGAAAGGGTTTTTTTTTAAAATTTGTATTAAATATATATTTGTAGATATTGTAAGAGAGATTAATAAATATTCTTTTGCGCGGTATTTTTTAAAATAACGTACGGTTATTGGAGAAATCTCGCGCGATCGTTGGTCCGCCAATTTTCTGTAATTAAATATCGCAACGTAATTAGGTTTCGTAATTGCAATTCTTAATTAGATCCCGCGTCGCGACGTAATTAGATAGTTACGAATTAAATTTCGAGCCGGGCTGAAAAAGAGCGGAACTAAAACCGAGATTGTTGGTATAAACGTCGACACGCGGCCCCAAAAGGCCGCGACGCGGGCGGCACGGCCGTTAATTTCACCTTCCGGATTTGTCCTTCTTTTCAACTGAGAGGCAAACGTGTCTCAGGAATGTGTAACGCGATAAAAAAAAGAAGAAGAAAAAAAAAGAAAGAAAGAAAAAGTACCGACGCGGTAAAAAGTGGTCGGTAAAAAGTGAACGCGACATAATTAACAAGCAAAAAATTTTGTATTAAAATGTTCACCAAGTTATAACAAAGCTTCCTCTGTTATTCGACTTGTTAGCATTTATATTAAAGTAAAAACTCTGTTTATGTAACTTTGAAAGATATAATTAAGTCGTTCGTATGGTAACTATCTATCTAATTTCTTCCGCCGTGAACTTTCGTGTATCATATAAATTTGAAAACAAATATTGTTTAACATTTAACGAATTAATTCTTCATTTATTATTAGATTTTTATGCAATTAAAACATATTTAATTAAGAGAAAATATCATACATCATTTAAAGATAGTACTCAAAAATAGAAGAAACCATATCATTGAAGTTTCTTTTTGGTTCATTCCGATATCTCGATCGGTTGCCGAGATATAATGATTCGAAGTGTTCATAAATGTGTTTACAATTCAGCACAGAAATTATGAATGGGTCTGGTCGTCTCACTGACCTACATTTTTTCCTGGAAATGTGTGCCACGTCCTTCCAGGAATCGCGTCTTTCACTTGTCCGAGGTTTGGGATAGGTCAGTGAGACGAGAGTTCCGAGTAAACGAATAAAAATTATCCTTTTATTCATACAACGATATCTCGGAAATCGGGAGTCGCGTCAAGATAATTCAAAAAGCGTTTTAAAGAGCAAAGTTTTGCGCGTTTAATGATCGTTGATTGGTTCATTGGAAGTTGTTATCTTCGAAGTTACAGCTGTTCAAAGTTTGCTTAATTTTAATATTCCCTTTAATCAAATTTGTAAAAAAGTAATTACCCGATACTTACTCAAAAACTCTTACGTAAAAAATAAAATATATTCAATATAAAAAAAATAAAAATCCGCAAACTTACTTATCTAAGAGCTAAAATTTCAAATAATAAAATTGCAATTAATTTGAAACTCCTTATTAAAAAAAAATAGGAAGAGAAATTTAATAATCGTGAAACAAAGCTAATGAATATCGTACGAGTTTCAATAAAGAACGTTTGTTGAACTACCGCTTTAAAGCCTGGTCGGTGTGTTTTAAAATAGAATGAAGCGCACATGGAGGAGGAAGAAAGAAGGAAGCGGTATAGAAAATCGGGCGAGAGGAGCACGTAATTGAGGGAGAAAGTGTTCAAAGCGTGAAGACGTAACAAGCGAGAGATAACATATTTCAAACGTGAAAGAGAAAGAGCCGTGGGACAACCGCGAAAGAACGGTTATTTTCTATGCGTTGAAAAAAAAATAAGAATCGACCGTGAGAGAGTTTCCCCGAGATTACGTAATAATCGAACAAGAAGAAGAAGAAACTCTTTGATTTCTACTTCTCTTTGATTTATCGTTCTGTAATTTCGAATACATGATTAAGGTTATATCAATTAAGCTGAATTCTCTCGAATCGCGATCGATTGATAAAAAGTAAATGAATTCAAGATAATAATGAAGCATCTAAAACATATTACGAAGTAATTTTACAATACGATAAGAAATAATTGAATTTACTTATCAAAATTTAACATCCTAAGGTAAAGACGAGCTAACGATGAATATTATAAACGCGTATTATTCGCGAAGCTATAATTTCCATTTTTTTTTTTTTTTTTTTCCCTTCTCGAAGTAAGTCCTCGATCACAATACGTATAACGATGGAATCTTTAGAACCCCTTTAAGAGCAAGTTTGCGGTCAGTTTATCATCTTCATCGGACGATTACTGTTATTCACCGCCACGGTCCCGGGGATGTACCCGGGTCTTTTTATTAGACAAGCGGGTGTAATTCTAGCGGGGAAACGTTCCATCATCGTCGTGGTCGCCCGAGCGAAATCTAGTCGGCCCCGTATTAGATTCAACTCGCCGCGACTGTGAACGAGCCTCTCTCTCTCTCTCTCTCTCTCTGTCTCGAGCCGCTGCCTCGAGAGAGAAAACGAATAATGGGGCGTAAATTTCGCGAAGTTAAAGTTGTTCTTTCTTTTTTGTTTTTACGCGAATCAATCGTGGACGAAACAACGAATCGAAAGCGTGGGTGGGATACGCGAAGGTAAACAGAGGAGGGGCGGAGAGGGTGCGTGGGAGAGATGGAAACGCGCGTTTGAACGTTGCGCGCGGTGATAAGCGATTAATATTTAAAAAACATGGAAACGAGACGCGTTCATTTCCATGAAACCCTTGTAAATGTTTCATTCATCGCGTCGGGGTATATATCAGCCTGTATCATCGTTTCGTTGAATAAACCATATTGAATTAGCAGGCTGGAAGAAACGGTTGGAAGGGAAAAAAAGAAAAAAAAAAAAAAGGGAGGAGGATTGAGTTAGCCAGCCGCGATATCTCCGCTCTTTATTTAGTTTATCGACTCCGCTCCCTGACAATTAAATCGGGGAGAAGAGCGATCAGGATCGATTCAACGAAGTTGTCCTCGCTGTGGCTCGGATTCACTGGCCTCGAAGATCCTCGCTCCCCCGGATGGATGGAAATATCCGATCGTAAAAGCGAACGGTATCGCGGTATAATGGCGTTACGAATCGACGAAAAGATGGAAGGGATCCTTCGATTTTACATCGCGATTACATTCGATGCGAAGCGAAAACCAGTTGTTCGACTTTCGCAATTATCCGTGAGAAGGTGTAAAAAGAAAGAGGTACGCAAGGTTGTCGAGTTTCGAGCGTATCTCGGGCATATCGAGCGTTACGCAATCGAGAGCATCGACTCTAATGGAGATTATTTCCTTTTTTTTGCAGGTTGTGGTGGAGAGCTCGTCCCTGGCCCTGGAATACGGAGATCTGGAGATCGATCCAGGTTCCCCCGTGAACCCGGATTTGCTGTTCGACTCGCAGCTGATGCACCTGTACGTGATGACGCAGAAAACCGTGTCCAAGGTGAAAGTGCAGGAATGCTCGGTCTACAAGACCTGTCTGGACTGTCTGGGTGCCAAGGATCCGTATTGCGGGTGGTGCTCGTTGGAGAACAAATGCAATCTGCGCAGCGATTGCCAGGACGCCGCCAAAGATCCCCTGTATTGGATCTCGTACAAGAGCGGCAGATGCACGACCATCACGACCGTCACACCTGATCAATTGCAGCGCACGACCGCCAGAACCCTAGAGTTAGTCATCGAGAACCTGCCAACCCTCTCCGGCCAATTTCTTTGCGCGTTCTCGACCCTGGACAAGACCCTGATCACGAACGCCTCGAGAAAATCTTTCGGAGTGAACTGCACCACGCCGAGGACGGATCTGTTGCCCTCGATCCCCCAGGGGCAGCATCACTTCACCGCGAAACTTTCGGTCAGAATGACGAACGGGCCCGACCTCGTCGACACGAATTTCACCTTCTTCGATTGCAACACGTACAGCTCGTGCACAAAGTGCGTGTCATCGAGTTTCCCCTGCGACTGGTGCGTGGACGGGCACAGGTGCACGCATGACACAGCTGAGAATTGCCGGAACGATATATTGGTCACGGGAATTAGCGTAAGTGGGGATTCGATTTAACGACTGAATGATGGTTATTGGCCATCGAAATCGAGCCAATTCGAAACGCCATTCGTAAACCCATCCAGAAACCTGTTAATATCCTAATACGAAATATCCTTTCCAACAACTCTCGATTTTCGATCGATCGAAAATTTATTTCTGTCTTTCACAGAGAACTGGCCCAAGCTACAGAAGCGGGCCGGCGTTCTGCCCGACGTTGAACGCGACCGATTCCCAGGAAATCTTGGTTTCTTCCGGCGTGAAGAAGGTGATAAGGGTTAAAGTGCACATCATAGGGGTAGGTAACAACATACGCTCCTAACGTCAATTCTTCGTATCGTCGATGCGCCGGTCGTATTCGACGAAGAATGAAAAAAGCGTGCGAGATGATCTAACGCGAAACGTGATCTTTTCAGCAATTCATCGTGCAGACCCGTTTCGTGTGCCAGTTCAACATAGAGGGCCGCGTGACGATCGTGAACGCTCGACTGCTCGCGGACACGATTTACTGCGAGGAGACGGAGTTTTCGTACACGTCCCGCGCCCCCAACATCACCGTGCCGTTCGCCGTGATATGGGGCGGCTCGAAACCGTTGGACAATCCGCACAACATACATCTGGTGATATACCGGTGCCGGGACATGGCCGACAATTGCGGAATGTGCCTGACCCTGGCTCCCAAGTACGACTGCGGATGGTGCCAGAGCACGGACAGATGCGAGGTGAAGGACAACTGCGAGCGTAACATCGGCATGTGGTTGAACAGCAATCAGACCTGTCCGAACCCCGAGATACACTCGTTCGAGCCGGTCATGGGTCCTTGGGAAGGTAACACGAACGTGACGATACGCGGCATCAACTTGGGCCAGACGTTCAAGGTGAGAATAAATAAAAATACCTCTCCGTTCAACCGAGATTTTTCGAGGAAGAAAAATTCTTCTTATAGTGTATTGTTCGTGTAAATATCGAGAAATATTTGTATATTTGTTGTCGGCGAAAGAAAGAAAACGTGACGATCGATTTCAGGATATTTATCGTGGCGTGATGGTCGGCGGATTACGATGCCAGCCGTACGAGGAACTGTACATGCGCACGAAACAAATAGTGTGCCGGGTGGACGGTCCAGGTACACCGGAGGGCAAACGCGGGCCGGTGATCGTGAAGATCGAAGACTTCAGAGGAACATCAGAGTACAACTTCGAGTTCGTGGACCCTCAGATCCTCTCGATATCGCCGAAATACGGGCCGATGAGCGGTGGAACGACGGTTAGGATCACGGGAAAGTACATGAACGCTGGAAGCACGATCAAGGCGTTCATCGACGAGCTGTCGTGCTCCATAATAAGCGCGGAGATGAACGAGGCGCTATGCATGACCAGCGCGAGTGACCACAAGAGGAACGGTACGGTGAAGATGACGTTCGATGGCGCGTTTCGAATCTACAGCGGGACGTTCGAATACGCGGACGATCCGACGATCGAGAGCGTGGAGAGCGGAGTCGCCGGGCAAATGAAGATTCCGAAAGGGATCCCGGCAGGTGGAATAAAGATCTCCGTGACCGGGAAGAATCTGGGCTACATACAGAGCCCCCAGATGTACGTGTACTACGACGAGAAGATGTTCGTCTCGCAGTGCGAGGTGCACAGTCAAGAGAGCATGATCTGTAAGTCACCTACTATCGAAGTTCCGGACAATGTTGTCCTGGACGCTGAGAAACCAGCCATGTTGGAGTACGGTTTCCGTATGGACAACGTGACGGGCGTACAGAATCTGTCGCAGCACGGATTCAATCACTTTCTGCTCTATCCGAATCCGATCTACGAGGTGTTCGACGAGGAGATCAAGTATTACAAGAGCGACTACTTGACCATCAATGGCCAACATTTAGACCGCGCCTGTCAAGAATCGGACGTGACGGTGCAAATAGGAAATGCGTTCTGCAACGTGACCTCGCTGTCCAGGCAGCAGCTCACTTGCAGGCCACCTTTGACGCAACCGCCGGCCATCGATTCCGACGGTTTTCCGAACAAGCAAGAACTGCCCGAAGTGATAGTGATAGTAGGCGGCACACTTCGTTACAATATAGGGAAACTGAGCTACGCACTGCCAGCAGGTCTGAACGGGCCGCTATCGAAACCGGCCCTGTTCGGGGTGATCGCCGCTATAGTAATCCTAGTAGTCGTGTTCATCGCCTTTCTTATCGCGTATCGACGCAAGTCCACGGAGAGCAATCGGGTGTTGAAGAACATGCAGGAGCAGATGGACATTCTGGAACTTCGTGTCGCTGCCGAGTGCAAGGAGGCGTTCGCCGAATTGCAAACGGAGATGACGGATTTGACGGGTGACCTGACCAGCGGAGGGATACCTTTCTTGGATTATCGAACCTACGCCATGATGATACTGTTCCCAAGCGACGACAATAGCCCCGTGTTGCAGTGGGACAGGCCGGAATTGGCGCGCAAAGAGAAAGGACTGCGTCTGTTTGGACAGTTGATAATGAATAAGACATTTTTACTCCTTTTTGTAAGAACTCTCGAGAGCAATCGTTACTTCTCCATGAGGGATAGAGTGAACGTAGCTAGTCTTATTATGGTCACGCTTCAGAGTAAGATGGAATATTGTACGGACATCTTAAAGACTCTTTTGGCGGAATTGATAGAGAAATGTACAGAGGGAAAGAGCCATCCGAAACTCTTCCTTAGACGGTAAGTTGGAAAGTAAAGGGGAAGGATATTATTTAAATTCTTCTCACAATTCTTTAATCTGTGCACGTTTTGTATTTCAGAACGGAAAGCGTCGCTGAAAAGATGTTGTCAGCTTGGTTCACTTTCCTTCTGTACAAATTCATGCGAGAATGCGCCGGTGAACCATTGTACGTGCTATTTCGTGCAGTGAAACAACAAGTCGATAAGGGTCCAGTCGATGCCATTACATCCGAAGCGCGATATTCATTGTCGGAAGAGAAACTGATCAGGCAGTCCATCGATTTCAAACCAATGGTATTTATCCTGAATTACTGAGAAATTCTTGACGAAATCTTCCTCTTTCCATTATGATTAATTCTTCTATATATCCATTTAAAATTGAATTTTTAGACGGTCTATGTATCCATATCCCAACAAACGGTCTTCGTCGGTGGTATGGATCCAAACACGGAGAACGTTCCAGTCAAGGTTCTCGATTGTGACACGATATCTCAAGTGAAGGAGAAGGCATTGGACACGATCTACAGAGCCACGCCTTACAGCCAAAGACCGAGGAAAGATGATCTTGATCTTGGTAAGATTTCAAAAGTTTTGATCGAACGTCGTCTATGAATAACGGGTGTCTAATGCGTTCATCGTTTCGACAGAATGGCGAACTGGGGCATCCGGCAGATTGATCCTCTACGACGAAGACTCGACTACAAAAACGGAAGGTGAATGGAAGAAGCGAAACACGTTGAACCATTACAGGGTACCAGATGGAGCGTCGCTCAACCTAGTCTCCAAACAATCGTCTATCTACAATCTATCGATCCTCTCCGAGAAAACGGACAAATCGCACAAATACGAAACCCTGAACCTTAGTAAATTCAGTTCAGCCAGCCCGCCGCTCTCCCGTGCCACATCGCCATTGAATCAGAATCACGACGGCGGTTTGAAATGCTGGCATCTCGTCAAACACCACGACTCCGATGCACGAAAGGAAGGAGACCGTGGAAACAAAATGGTGTCGGAAATCTATTTGACGAGGCTACTAGCGACGAAGGGTACTCTTCAAAAATTCGTGGACGACCTTTTCGAAACAATCTTTAGCACTGCCCATCGGGGATCGGCCCTTCCCCTCGCGATCAAATACATGTTCGATTTTATGGACGATCAAGCGCTACAACACGGCATATCCGATCCTGAAGTAGTTCATACATGGAAGAGTAATTCGCTTCCGCTCAGGTTTTGGGTGAATCTTATCAAAAACCCAAACTTTATCTTCGATATACATAAGTCGAACATCGTGGACTCGTGTCTGTCCGTCGTCGCGCAAACGTTTATGGACAGTTGTTCCACCTCGGATCATAGATTAGGTACGTATCGAGTGAATTCATTTTTATTGAGATTTTTCTTGAATTTTGGATACGTTGGCGAGACTGTTTAATTCTCTGTGATTGTAGGTAAGGACTCGCCAAGTTCTAAATTACTATATGCAAAGGACATTCCAGTGTACAAAGAGTGGGTAGAACGTTATTATGCAGATATCAAAGTGATGCCAGCCATATCCGATCAAGACATGAATGCCATGCTTGCCGAAGAGTCTAGGGTATTATATATTTTTTCCATGATTGGATTTTTATTATGACTATTATCTATCTATCGTTTTCTCATTCTTTTTTTTTTTTTTTTTTTTTTTTTTTATATATATATAGTTACACACGACGGAATTCAACACGAATTGTGCCCTTTACGAATTATACACGTACGCGGGTAAATACAACGAACAATTGATAGTTACTCTGGAAGAGGATGAGTTCTCGCAGAAACAGAGATTGGCATACAAACTCGAACAAGTACACAATATAATGGCGGCGGATAACCCCTGATGTACCATGAACTCTATGAAGCATATGACAAAGCCCGCCCGCCAAGAGCTACCGTGCTGAATACTCAATACGCAGTTAGGTACTCTTAATCAAGCACCAAGAGGACTGGCCTATGTTGTAATCGATCGTCTCAGGTTTCCGTGCAAGCCAGTTATCTCAGCTTAGTACGCGAATTATTATTAAAAAGAAGAAATTGCACAATGGACCGCTGAAATGCTCGACAGGAGGAGAAGTTTGAAATGTTTACAAGGATTGAAGTGTTTGTGACAAAGTCTTCTGAATTTGGTCGCTGGATACCAGGTGTGGCGATAATCACACTGCGCATTGTCATACAATTGTACATAAAATACCAAAATCACGATTAATTGTAATAGAATTATCGACGTGCACCCACACCTTCTGGCGGCCACAATCATACAAAATGAAAACTGATAAATTTTCGCGCGCTATGATATCGTCGTGGCGTCGATTAATACGCCACGTCCGGCGGATAGGATTTTAAAACGAACGAAAATAATAGAACATTAGTGTTATAAGTGAGTGAACGAATCAGCCGATCAATCCGATAATTTGTAAATGTGTTTAAAACGGCCAATATTTGCCGCCGCTATCGGGGATCGGCGATTTTTAACGAAGAAACATTTCCATCCACCGCTACTAGCTGAAATTTTTTTGAATTACGAACTGACGAATTTTAATAAATAAGATAATTAACGATTAACGATGATTAATTAAACATATGGGTATATTATATATACATGGATGGTATGTCGTATGTATATGTGTACATATATACACTTTATACTGGCGCAAAAAAGTATGTGTGTATGTATATGCAGTATCCGAAAAAAGAGCGCGCGTACAGTATTGGCGCTAATTCCGAGATATCTCTCTCGCGACGATTGATTGTTGTATAAGAAAGGAAGAAATAAGCAAGAGGGGAAAAAAAAGAAGAAAATATAGAAACAGAGGTGTAACAATACGATTCTTGTCCAAATTTGTAAACATAAATTTCAATCGTCGATCGTCGATCGATTTAGCTCGCCATACTGTACGTGCGCTATGCATTACGCGTATTATTTATACTTACATGCATCCAAAACGAAAAAAAAGGAAGGAGTCGTCCGCGAAATCGGAGACAGACTGTGTATTAGTTGATAGGTATTAATCTATGGACTATGGCCGCGCGCGAGGCCAGCTCGATGTGACGGTTGTGTTGAGTGTGCGTGCTTCCCCTCCTTGGTCTCCAGCTCATTGTTCCATTTTATCATTAATCGTTCGTTCTCATCGTCGTGCATCCATCACCTGATGTTCACTTGATCATTGTCGCGCAATTCATATTCATCGAAAAAAGATTCCCCATTGTCCTCGTGTCATCATTACCTCTCTTTGTATTACATGTAGTAAAGATGTCCACTATCGACGCCTCTTCTACTCTTTCTCATCATTCCTAAGAAATCACATTGTGCCACTCTCTCTTCTCCCTTGTAATGCTTCAACGCCTCCGTCGTCATGTTGTTGTCACTCTTAATTATTGTAATATATAATGAATAACGATCACTGTTGAGTATTGTCTGATTGTAATACATTGATATTGAATTGATATGAATTGATAATCATTAATTAAAGCGTAACATTAAACTTTGTGGATGTAGCTATATTGGTATGGATGAAAGTTTAAAACGGTTGATGCAAGTGAGAATGATGAGAAAGCCGTTCGCGATAAGCAGCACTCAAAAATAAATTTTGTTCTAGGAATATTTTACCTACGCGCCATTTTCAATGGAATCTCGAATCGTATATTCGTTTTTAATCTATATATATATATATCATAGAAAGAGGGATCAACAATGATATCATCATTTTCCAAAATATTTCACTAAGAATCGTTAAAACTTTCACTACGTTTCTTCCAAGTTAATCGTACGTTTAACGTATTTTACAAACGTTAAATAAAATATTACAAACGCACATCGAAACCGAATGAAGTCACGTGAAGATTTTTCAAATCCGCGTAGGTTAATTTCGATTTTACGAAATATCGATATTACGAAATATCGATATTACGATCGAAAAAAGAATTCATATCGTCGAAGGTGTTCGAATTGGAGCAACCTTCAGAGTTCTGTCGATGCGGACGGCTGGTAGCGAATGAATATTGTTCATGTATGCGTGAGTGTGTCCCGTGCGTCAATTCAATGTGCAGTTGTCAGTGGAGAAAGTATTTATTGCTCAAAAAACATCGGAAGACCGTGTGTGGAAAGGTAAGGCAGCAGGGAAAGATGCGGAGTTGGTAGGCTACGGGAAAGGAACGGGGGAGGGGGAATGGATGGGTACGTAAATAAAAGTGGTGAACGTACGTGTAATGTGAAGATGAAGACAAAAAAATGGATCACAGACAGGGTACTCCGCCAAGTCGAGAAATATTAAAAAAAAAAAAAAAAAAAAAAGCGAAAGAAATTCACGTCGTTCAATCGCTGTATCATTTGCAAACGACAAAAAGATAAATAAAAAAAAATAAATAAAAAAGACAAAGGACTCGTAGCGCCCTCCCCCGCGCACGCCGACTTCAAATGGTACTAATAAACCCAAAGTGCCTCTGGTAGATTTTTGGGCATAAGCTTGAGTAATAAAGACTACATAGCGTTTATTATAAAAGCACGACTACGACGCGATCGCTGATTGTAATAAAACGATGATAATAATAATTAAAAAATAAAAAAGAAGAAAAAAAAGGGGAGAAGAAAAAAGGAAAATTGAAATAAACGAGTGGGAAGGAGAGAGCGAGAGAAGAGAGAGAAAAACAAATAGAAAATGAGGGACAGGAGTGCGTGTAATGAATATATACACGTGCTTATTTATTAAATCACAAAAGAAATAATAACAAAAAAATAACCCGAAAAACGGGCGGAGTGCGGGCGTACCGGGTGTACGTGATGCGTACGCTAGTTACACATTTAGATAAGATATACATATAGTCGGTAGCCTAGTCTCTATGTCAGTGTCTGCCCTGAGTGTCTTTCCCATGGTGTATCCCTATAAAGTGCGTGTACCTTGAAACTCCTGGCAAGCAGACGTGCAATTTCCATGAAACGTTCAATCAACCTCCTTCTTCCCCGGTTATTCCAGAAACGAAGGAGATCCCGCCTCTCCCTTCTACCAACGTCCTCCTGCGCCAAGTTATCACCCCTTCCACCACCAATATCATCGTTATTATCATCAAATTCCCCTCCCTTTTTCATAACGCGTTTACTGTGCTCACACATCACGCGTCCTTCGTCACACTACCGATCGGCACGTTTTGCTAAGTAAATATTATTATTGTATCGATGGTTCCTCATTAATTATGGAATGTACGATCCCGATTTGTAAAATTCGAACTAAGGAGATGTGTATCGCCGTATCGTTCGTGCGTGGCTTGCTGCCCCGGCAGTCTACTACCGTGTGTGCTGAATCGTATCTGAAGAGAGAACGTACGCCTCAAATCGAATGCCTCTGTCGAAGGATGATCGTGTACGTATGAGCATATATTTGAGTCTTCTTGTTTGTCTTGTCTCTGCTCGAGAGGTGAGTTTAAATTAATGTCAAACATGGCCTCGACAAAAGGAGGGAACGAGGTCATGATACATAGGGAGATGACAAATAAAGAAGATTGATGAATGTCAGATTATTCGAATGAAAGATTTGCATGAGTGTTTGTGGACTGTGCAAGACTGAGAGAGGCAGCGGAGGGAGCTTGCCAATCAATCCAGGGTCGCTCCCTCGCCGCTCATTTTTACGTCATAAACATTAATTATGATTAAACATATAAAACAAAAAAAAAAAAAAAGATAATGCATCCAGCAAACACAATTACGTTACGTTTATAATAGTCATGTTCCTTTCCGATCAATAATTATTATTAATAAATCTATATCAACCTTGCTACATTATTTTGTACTTGTTTTTTTAATCTTAATATATTAGATAAAAAAAATATATATATAAATAATGCCGTTTTTAAGTTATCCGATCTTTATTATTATTATTTTTGTATAAATGTGTGATTAATAGTACGGATAGTGTAATAATTTTGTATGTTTATTGAACCAAAAATAAATATTATTGATAAAGAATCATTTTCGACATTTTGTTTAACTCTCTGTATTTAATTCTTTATTTAAAGGATGGATGACAGTATCATCTGTATCTTCCATTTTCTCAAGAGATTCTGGAGTTTTGTGTGATCGTAGACTTCGTGGACCAATAGTACTTAATATAACGGGCAAAAGAAATAATCCATGCCAAAGGCCAAATAATATTACTAAAACGAAAATTTTCAAAAACGCATGGAAAACATAACTTTCTGAGAATGCCATCATAGAAAGCGCAAGTAATGTTGAACCAGCTCCATATGCAACTGCTGCACCAATATATCTTACTGCGATATGCGCTCTTTTAGTACGATCTTCACTTCCATCTATACATGCAGCGTTTATAAATGCATGTGCAACGTGAGCAGCATAATCCACGCACAATCCTATGCCCAATTCCAAACCTAGGAAAAGAAGTTATACAATAAAATGTTGTAATTTTGACAAATTTGTGCAATTTATCAACAATTTATTTCATAGAAATAATAAACTCACCAATGCAAGATACAATATCTATTGTTAAATTCCAGAAATACATAAATCCACAAACATTCAAAAGTGTGAGGAGTACGCTTAAAAAGATCCAAAAGCACGTTTGTAACTCAGCAATCAACAACCCTGTCATTCCCATAACACAAATTAAAGCTAACAAAACATTGCGTTGAACTTCTTGGGCGATCAATTTGTCCGTGACCCACAAACTGAAAATTTCGCTCCAGACTGTAACAAAACCATTGATTCCAACTTCACGTGCCACCTGTTTACTTTCATCCATTGCTGGAATCCACTGATGGGGACCATAAAATCGTTTAAAGATAAAATCTATAGTGGCTACTGTAATAGGTGCGGTATTTTGACCACATGTTAAACTCTTTTTAAAACGAAAGTTCCGTTGATATTTGCCTCCATTTCGGCTAAATAAGAACTTGGATAAATAATTTTGAAATTCTGTATCCTCCAGTATTACGTTTCTTAAATCTATTAATTAAAAAAATGTTATTATTAATTTTACAATTACTTATTAACTTATTAGTATCAAAATCTTTAGAAATGTTATTAACCTTTTTGAAAATATTCTAAAACAAATTTTGTAAAATCAATAGGCCATGCATTTATACTTTGTATTGTTGATAAATTTGCAAATTTTTCCGATAGATTTATTAACTTTGGAAACTCGGCACTGTAGTTAAAATCTCCCATGAGAATCATTGATTCGTAACCTCGATCAGGATATTCAGCACGATGTACATTGATATATTTGCTTAAATATGAATGGTTTGGTATAAACCATGTTGGATCGAACCATTGTTGCAATTGTAATATACCGACAATTCCAACCGATGCTGTAACTATTGTTATTAATACTATCGTTATCTTTCCAGGTTTCGTTAAAATTATGTTTGAATATATTTTATTTATCAACTTGGTAGAAAATTCTTCTTGTGGATTGATAAATTTCTGTGTAAAATTTTCATGAACAATGCAAGGAAATATCGAATTTCTTTTATTCTCGATTCGCCGAGCATCAATGGAGAAAAAAGCAACGTAAAACGTAATTTGAAATAAAAACGTTAATAGTACTCCAAACGCTGCATAAATACAATATGATTGAAGAGATGGCAATATCTAAAAATATATGTAATATTATTTATATATCTTTCATCTATATAATACATTAAATATTAATTCAATCTTACTGTAGATGCACCAATAATAAAGGCAACAACGTCAGTAAGAGAAGTAATAATAATCGCAGAACCAGCATGTCCTAACATTAATGCTATTCTTTTTTCTAATGGCTTATTTCGATTCAACTTTTGTGCGTGTACTTCTTTCCAAGATGCCATTATTAAAAAATTATCGTCTACTCCGAGAGCCAATAATAAAAAAGGTAAAGAAGTGTGTACAGGCCCATATGAAATACCAAGAAGAGAACATACACTAATTGAAACTATAAAAGCACCACCCACGCACAAAAGACCGACAATTGTCAGGTAAACCTATAAAAAAATGTTTTATAATATGTAGATATAAACATTTCTGAACATTTTTATATGTATCTAATTTTTTTTTGTGGAAAACATATCTAACTTAAATCTTTATATTAAAAATAACTTACCCTACATCCTACCCAATTATATTCCGAAGATATGACTAGAACATAAAAAAACATCAAAAAGAATCCTATTGATAATATACCAATATTTCCAAACATCGTTACAAACGTAACATCACCGAAGCTTCTTCCAGCTTCGTACCAGATAGCTAATGTATTGTTTACATTTTTTTCATTATTCAACAACTTTGCATTTCTATGCAATACATTCAAATAGGATAATTCCCATTGTAATATATCTTTTGTTGCCTATAAATAGAATATTTCGTTTATTCCATTACTCGAATTATTATTATTTATTTATTTATAATGTAAATAAAATATATATATGTAAAAGAAAAAATAAATTCTGATTTTGTCAAAGATCAAAAAAATTTATAAAATGTATATATTTACAGAAAAATGAATTAATTTTTTTAATAAAAACAAATAGATAATCTTGACAAAATCATTTTGTGAAGAAGAAAACAAGGCCCAAATCATATTGTTTAAAAAATATGCAATTATTTTACTATTCAATGGAAAATAATAGTTATATAAAATATATCTTTAAATTCAAAATCATTTATTAAAAATTATGATTTAGGCCTTTTTATAAACTTACCTTACCCAATCAGCTGTTCCAACATCATTGCCAAAGTCATGCATATCCACTTCTGAAAAGTTTACAATAATTGCCCATTGTGTTTTTACAGCTGTGGCTGAAATAATTCTATCATTTTCATCTTTTATTATACCACCCAACAATTCTGTAAAATTTAGTGGATGGCCCAAAGTGGGGCTAATTTTTACTTTATTTATATCCTTAATAATTTCTTCTTTAGATTTATGAAGTATCACATTAGTGTCATATTCCCATATATCCAAAATACTATTTAATAGGCAAGCTTTCGGTAGATTATTAACTATATTACAATAGAGTTCAGGATTAGCATGAACTGCAGGTTCAAATATTGTTTTATTAATTAATACTTCTGGTTCAATTTCAAAAAAATCATCAGATTGATCACTGCGTTTTTTTCTATGTGCAATACCCGATATGACAGGTACTCTATTTATTAAACACAAAGAAATTAGTTATGGTTTTTAATGACTTCATATTTTATATATATATATATTATAAAGTTTGTTCAATAATAAGAACGCTTACTTGAAACATATATCTGTCCATGCAATTTGATCAGGAGTTTGTATAGAAATAATTTGCTTTGTTATTTCATTTAGCTAAAATAATTTAAATTAATTAAATTTTTAATATTATATTATATATTTTTGTTACAATAAAATAAAGAAATGAGAATAAATACCTTTGCAAGTATTTCTGGTTCTAATATATTGTCCGCTGTTAATATCATATTTTCTAATCTCAAACTCTGATCAAATTTTTCAAACATCCATTCTGTATCACGAACAAATTCCGAATCCTGCGGAACCCATAATCTTATAGGATTTTTCTCTTGATGAAAAAAATAAAGACCAGAAAGGGAAATTAATACTATCACAGCACTTCCAATTATCCATTTCAACGGTCTTCGAGCAATTCGCAGTCCAAGCCTGAAAAAATCACAATATTCAATTATGTAATCAAAAACAAAGAATTTTTCTTTTATTCACAAAAAAATTATACTTACCCATAGAAAAAATGTTCGACCACTTCTGATAGACGCTGTGGTATGCGTTGCAGAAAGCTTCGAAAAGTCCGCTTACGAACGATTCTACCTTCTATTTCCATTTTTTCAAAGCTGAAATTGAATCACATTGTTTCTCTTCGTATCATGATTGAATTTTAAGCGCGATTCGCGTAAGTCCCATTGAATGACTTCGAACCTAATTGATTCCGTTTGCAATTTGATCTATAGTCTTAGTAACAGTCCTTCGCAACGGGTAAAGGACAACGAACACATAACCTCTAAATTTGTCGACCAATTAAGTATAAATATATGAATAAACATAGAAACGTGAAAAAGATTATGCAATCAAGAAATACTTCCATTTGAAGCAACTTATGCACGGAACTTTTGTCCAGCTCCGCGAACAATCGACTGTCACTATCCATAGTAAGTCTTTTTTAACTTATTGTGCGTTTTGCTGCATTAGATTATGCATGGTAGACATTACACTATCAGCGCGCGTAATTATTACGAAATATAAACTATTAAGAAAATAGAATTATGAAGATATTTTATTAAGATGTTTAATTTATTTAAGAGAAAAATAAAATTAAATCTATTACCGTTTCTGCGAATTGATTTTGTCGAAAGATCAAGTTTGCAAATGATTAAGCACTTATACATTTTTTAGATCTAGGAATTGACGTATATATATATATACCGGTTTTTGTTTTACGAATAGTTATTCTCAAGTAGATGCGTTTTCAAACAATTTTTGGAAAATATCCAATTTTCCAAAAAAAAAAAAATTTAGCATAATTTAAATTAGTTAAAAAAAGTTGATATCACTTCAAAATTTTACAAAAGATTCATAAAAATAATCAAAAAGATCATGAAAGAATCAATACTTTTTGCAATTTCTAAATTTTGTGTGTTATTTCTACAAAAAATTTTTATTCTTAGATATTCTTAGATAAATTATAAAAAAGACAAAAACTTACCATAAATTCCTTATAAGAACGAGACCTTAAAACCGTCCTCTTCACTGATTGACTCACGACTGCTGTACTGTTCTACGAATCCGAACAAGTCTCACTCAAAATTAACTTAATAACCAACTATTGATGTAACGAAGCGTCGTAATTTATCGAAACCTAATACTTATCAATTAAATCCAATGATAACGAAGATATTAAACACCAACGATATCCGATTCAATTTCCATTCGAATCTTCGATATGCACGATTAACACGCTCCAATGCATATGCTCAATGTGCATACATTGTCTGCGAAACAATGGGTATAATTAATTTCTTTTGCGGTTTCTTTCATGTCTAATTATGAATTGGGAACCAGAAGGATTCTCGACTCGTATCTCTCAAAGCGCATCGTGTCGTCTTAATTTCGTTGGTTAATGGAACAAATGTATTTAAAAGAAAAAAATTTTTATGGATGATTGTATGTTAATTTATCGATTGTTGATTCATACATTGAAAAAATAGCATGTTATAATGTTATAACTGGTGAAGAACACGAGATTGATAGTTGCAATGATATGTAATGAATAATTATAAACTGGAAAGAATTAAAGATTTAACTTCTTTGATCGTTACGTAAAATTTCCTGATTCTGATTTTATTTTATTTAATTTATACTGTTTTTTGTTCAGGAAATAATGAAAATGGATATTCTAGATTACAAATTAATTAAAAAGATTGATTATTAAAATTGATTTAATTAAAAAAATCCGATTATTACTTTATTAACCAAATCTGTTTCTTGTTTTTATAATAAAATATTATTATATATGCACTGAACGCGAAAACGAATGTTTTTTACACAAATTGAATAAACACATTATATTTCATTGGAAATATAAATATAATATAACTATTTCTCGAAGTAACGAGATTTTTCATACATACAGTGTTAATTTTCATATAGATTCAATTTTCATCTCTTTATTCAGTATTTTTTATTCATAATAAATCATAACTTTTCATTTATAAAAAGTGAACTTGCTTATGTAATATCAAAACGTATTTCTAAGAATATATATTTTTACAAATCACGCGTAATGAATAAGAGAGGTAACAGACATGTATATTAGAATGCAAAGTTCCAAAGTGGACAAAACAATTTTACAATAACGATGCACGTTCACGATTCTCATGTGGAGCAACGTGTACGATATGCTGACTATCGCAAAAGCGGGCAAAATCATTCTAGCTAGAGGAAACAACGGTGACGTGTTCAACCATATTGGTGCAATTAACAGATAAGGGACCACGATTTCGAGATCATGTTGATGTGCATTTCGAATGCGATCCACGTCCACGTGTCCGCCTCCTGTCGGGCATAAAATTATATCGGTACCTTTCAACCATCTTCTATCCTCCTCGCTGTGGATCACCTGTGAAAAATCGTTTAAACCGAGGCGTTCCAATTACTGAGTCGTAAATAATATTATATCGAAGGAAAAAATCTCTTATCGAACGAAACAAGTTTTAAAATTGCTCTCCTTGAATAATCAGTCTTAATTTTCTGCGGGGAAACATAAATTTGTACATAAACGGACACTTAAGTTCATTGAGAATTGCCTCAATCGTGATAAATGACGGAATAATGTAAATAATGTAAATAAAAAAAAGACATGTTTTTCTGTAATTATAATACGAGAAACGTTGGAATCATTTTTAAAGAGTTATGACAACTTGATCATGTTTGAGATTTGATAAGAAGAGAAACATTTGTTTTCCACTGTGTGTCACTCGTGATAACAAGAAGTGACATTAAGAGATAATAATAAATCTTAAATATTTACAAAATAATATATTATTTTCTCTGTTTTATACAAATGAAAAGTAAGCGTTATATAAATAGTTTTGTTAAGAAAATGCAACAAAAAGATTTATCTGTCTGACCTCCCATTCTCGATTTAACAAGAATTATGATCATGATTTTAATTAATTGAACGATGCCAGGATCAACAAAAACTAGAATACCTTGAATGCTAAATGATATTCCACAGGTATTCCACAAGCATTTATTCTAAACTTCCTATCCATATACATATATATATATATACCTTATAACTTATACCAAAGATCAAAACATCGTTACATTAAAACCCAAGTCTACTGTTATTAAAAAACAGTTTCTCGATAGATCCATAGATCCAAAAGATCCATTTTTACCTGTCTGGTCGCTCGAATTCGCCCAGTGAACCAAGTCAAGGCGTTCATCTTCAGAACGAGAACGCACGACCACCAGGCGTAAGCTGCCCACAACTCTCTCGCAAGATTGCTCTCCATTGTTCTTGGCTTCGTAACGAGAAGAAAAACTCGAAGAATGGAGGGCGTAGCTCGTTGTTCCCTTAATATTTCTTTCGTTTAGTCGCGTGCGCCATTCTCTCAACACGCGGGAGGTGGATCATTTATCAATGTCGCGATAAGGGAACAAGAACGGCGGATGAAAGAAGAAAAAAGAAAAAAAAAAAAAAAAGAAAAGAGAAAAAAACGCGAATAAAGAAAAAAAGGGAGGGAGAATGCGACGTATCAAAGCACAGAGGGGGCGGTGGGGAGGCGTTAGAAAGTTAGCACGAGCGCGAAATACGCGAAAGGAAAGTTGTCGAGAGCGGAATCGCGTTAAAATTCACTTCGCATGGATTCGTTGTCGCTCGTTGCCACCAGACGACTGACTGCCTCGAAAACCGGTGTCCCTGGAACGTGATCCCGAGTCCTACAGCCCTATTTGGAAGTCAAATCGACAAGCGCCACGCCGATTCTTGAGAACGTTTCGGAAACGTAGCGGCATTTGTTTCGAGCTGGCTCGTTTATTTTTCTACACGGGACACGTTAAAAAAGTTGGGGAATTGTAAAACACGTAGTTGGCAGCGCAACGTATTTCGATCGAGTCGAGCCCGTGTCGATGTCGATAAATGTTGCGAACGTCACGAAAAAGTTTTCACCTTCCCTGCGGCAAGTTGGCTATCTATCGGTGACGATGATAAATGATAAGAAATAAGAAACGTAGATGCTTATCTAGCTGCTTTAAATTTTTAGAATATTAAATTCGATGCCTGGTTAGAAATCTGATACAGTTATTCGATTATGATGCAAGTTTGTTCGTATCGTTGAGATGAATTTATTCAAAGGTTTCGAGAAACTTTTGACACGAGACACTGTACGAGGGATAAAAACGTGACTTTTTCATTGGTACATGTATTGATGCTTTCGTTTTAAAAGGTTTTAATTTACATATCTGTTACATCAATTATCCTAAGATTCTTTATCACGGTCGATCGATAAACTCGATCTACTAAGAAACGATTAATCGGTAATTTATAATTATTTAAAAGAAGAAGAAGAAGAAGAAGAAGAAAAGAGAAAATAATTATTGTCAATTTTATTCCCCTCGGAACTTCTCGGCATTTTCGTAATATTTCATTTCTAGAAAAACTTTTCGGCAAACTTCAAACGATCCACACCGATTTTCTCCCATCGGCAAAGTAGCTAATTAAAGTGAAATCTTTGGTGGATTATGCGATATTTAATGTCACGTTACAAACGCCACTGGGCGATGTTACTCTTCTTTATGTTCGACTGTATCGACACGTCGATCAGATTATTTCCAAGGAAGAAATCCGTCGCGACGATGTTCGTCTCCTTCCACCATTCCTCCTGGAATTTGTACGTGAGATTCCTGTTCACCGAGTCGGCCATCTGCCGCAATCCGCCGGATAAATTGAAGATTATGTCCAACGGATAAGGTGTCAACTCCGCCATCACCGCCCACAACGGATTTTGACTGTTCCGAGACTTCTTTGGACCCATGATGACTTTGTCCAGGTATTTGAACAGTCCTTCCACCGTCTGTTGGTTACCCCAGGCCTGAGACATCGTTGGCCAAAGCCAATCGTATTCTGAAACAAGACCCAGTTGCTGAGATAAATAAAGCGGAGTGATATATTAATCGAAAATAAAAGAAATATCGATCGAAACGAATCCGAATTTAAACGAAATCTAACGAAATGAAATTATTAGAGTTTCCATCGAATTCATAAGATAATGATAAATTTACCATTAACGGTATGCTTATCACCGTAGCATATTATCAAGCGTTTCCCCCCGGTCCAAATATCGTTTAAGGTCGGACCCAGACCTTCGACTCCTCTATCTGGTTTCAGAATCAGTCCTTCGAATTCTCGTAAAAGGATCATGGCCAATCGACGATGCCTACTTGGTCTATCCTCGAATCCCACGGGAAATCTGCAAACAACACTAACCGTTGAACGAATCGTTTCATTTTAACGATAATACACTGTACAACGATACCCTCATGCATCGATACGCGAAGAAATATATAAATTTCTCTCTCTCTCTCTCTTCTCCCACGAGAGGATCGTAGCAGTTTCCAATAGTTAAATATGCGCGATTAAGTTGGAGATATACGTAGACGAACGGGCCACCGCGCTCAATTTCATAGCAATTTGAAATCAATTTGCATCACAAGCATCGAATCGTTCTCCCAGCATTATCGATCCATCCGAATCGGCGGTGTTGCATTATGCCGCCACGTATGCCAATTTACCTATGAAAGTCCATGATGACCACCTCTCCCCTAGCGACGTTCAGAAAGTTTCTCACGTCTTTGATGATGGCCGAGAGGGGGGTGATCCGGATGACATCATGATTGATCCAGAATCTGCTTATGTGATTGCCCTCCTCGATGGCCGTGCCGTTGGGAATTGACGGGTAATAACCGACTCTGACGTCGAGATACCTTATGCCGTGCACTAATTGCGTCCACACGTCGCGATCCTGCGTCAACAGGTACCTTTGAAACGCGTCTCGTCTCGTCAGGTCGCCGTGCTTGTAACATCCGGAATTATGCGTGCCCGGGATCATTAAACTCCCTATAGGAAGTCTTCCTAATTGTCTCCTGAGAAGAAATCATTTCGACCATCAGTTTTGGAATTCGAATGGAAATTGAGACGAATGTTTCGTTTTCAGGCGAGAAATAATTTTTTTCCATTAAAAAATCTAATTACCTCAAGTCGTACATCCATGTTGGCCAGATCTGTAAACAGGAGCTGGTAAGGATCACTCCATCCTTGTAAAGGGCGGCGTGGTGTTTCAGGCAATGCGGACCCGGAAGCGTCGCGCCATCCTTGGTGTCCCATCCACCCGGAAGCGGTGGACGTCCAACCGTGATGTTCGTTCGATAGTAACCCCGTGGGTATTGCAGCGAAGTCAAAGTCAGCTTGGGCTTCACCGTTTTATCTGGAAACGAGATGTCAATGCTTCCGTCGGCCTATATCGATATAAATTACTTTCGAATAAATTACTCGAATCTCGATGAGATTGAAAATATATATATATACGTTTTTATTCGCTCGAATGCGTCGAGCAAGAATAATTATCATCGGAACGCGCTTAAATTAAAATTAAAAGAAAGAAACAAGAAAAAGTGATAGATGGATTATTCGAAATGTAATTCTAAGCCTTGAATATTTAGTTACGACGTTCAATAGAAGCAAACAAAACTTATTACTATGTGCTGGGTCAGCAGTGAACACCTTGATGGTATCTGGGTATCCAGTACTCGATGGACAATCGAGGTCCCAATTTACTTCGAGCTCAGCGTCGACCACCTTGTCGCTGGCAGCGATTGGTCTCCACAGCGAGGAGACTGTCAGCCATACTTTTCCGCATTGTGCTGCCAATGCTGAAATCACCAATTTTTCTTTTTTTTTTCTTTTTCTTTATCGTCAGCAATCCCTTATCATGCGGACGACACACTTTCGACTGTTCCAAAATTTTTTTCAAGCGTGCTCGAAAACCGTAATAAACCACGAGATTTAAATTTACCGATATCGCAGAATACGTGAAGAAGCAGCAATATTTCACCCTTCAGCATCATCGAGTAATGTGCCAATTTATCCAAGCTTCCCGTACAAACCCGTGCTTCCCTGCCGTCCAACGTCAAACGCCTATATCGACGATAAAAATAAAAATTATACATATATATATATATATATACATTGTTCGATTAAGTTCATCGATAAATTAACGAATCAAATTATCATTCCTTAGCGGCGAGAAAAAATCGAACAAGGGATGAGTTATCGAGAACGACAACGCGATAATAATAAGAGAGCGAACGAACGAAATCGATACAAGATTACAACCGCTCGAGACGAGAAGAAGGAACGAAAAAGTTGTGAAGAAGCAGGGAGGAAAGAAGAAGCGGAAAGCCGGTAGACGGACAAAACCACTTACACCTTACGGGCGCGCGCACTCCGCGAACCGCTTGCTGACGCGGCGAGTCGATCGCCAGGAATCCCTCCTCGAGTCCTGGTTCTCTCCTTCGGCTGCTCGATGGCCGATCGAGCATTCAGTCGCGCTTCGTTCCCCGTCCACCTCGAACCTCGATCGCTTTCTACCTCTCCTTTCCTTCGCCTTCAAGGAGAACCTCGCGAACCGCTCGATCGACGACCGCTCATCGTCCGTACCCACGATCGATTCACGAGCGAGAGAGCCGCCGATCGATACCGATCGAGCCACGACACGACCTCGGGCCTCTCTCGAAGGTCGGGGAGGGGGGAGGGGAAAAAAAAAAAAAAAGAAAAGAAAACGAACGGATCCGACCGTCCGGAGACAGTCCAGCGACTGAACGATAGAGAACCGAACCGACCCGTGACCGGACCAGTTTAATATAGAACCCGCTCGCTTATAGGACATTCAAGCACATTGTGCCATCCTTCCATCACTTCCTCGGACACGTCAATTGCTCGGTGGGGACCACGTAGCTGTCCTCGTCGTCCAACCGTTCGGGCACGTTGCGTTTTTCTCTGTCCAACCGTTCGGTCATCCTATCGACCGACCGACCACCGCCGTCCACCACCGGGGGGTCAGACCCGGCCTGACCCGCCGGCATTAAACACCATTTCCTGCGTACGCCATGGAATATATAGTTTCGAGACAACGACGTATACGCGTAGGGAGAGCGCGCTTCGACGTCGATGGATCCGTCTCCGGGGTTTGGGGGACGGATCTCTGATTCTACATTGAATTATCACCCTCGTCGCTCGTGGCTGGGCAACGGGCGGGAGGGGAGGGGATCGTGAGAGCTAACAGGATGATGATTAGGTACAGGTGCGGGCAACGAGGCGACTCGATTTATCGTTACTCGCCGTTCGATATGGTATTTGCCGACCGTCCCGTGTTTCATACTCGATATCCAAGCGATATCGAACCCAGAAACTGTTTATCATCCGCGACGCTTGTTTTTGGAATAATTGCACCCATTGGAAATTGGAAGATGGTGTTTGGCGGGGATTAATTGTTTGTCAATGTGTGCGCAGTTGCCTCGTGGAAATATTGATTGTTAAGGATCTCGTTAAAATCGTCTTTTCTTAATTAAAAGTATTAATTAGAATTTCAGTTAGAATAGGTAGATGTAGTATACTTTTTATTTCTTTTCCGAATAAATTCTGATCGATGTTGCTTGTGAATAATTACTTACTTGTTCTAATCAATTTAAAGGAAATCAAAAAGTAAATCGGAGAAATAAAATAACGATTGGTTTAGTACAACAGATATACAATTTATTTACAAGGATTTCACGCGGATATAAAGTAACAATGTTCTCTCTTTCTCTCTCTTTCTCTCTCGCAAGAGGAGAGAGCGTCGAAGAGATGATCGATCTCGATCGTTTTGCGTGAAAAATAAATTAAACGCTTGGAAGAAATTATTTTCTAATCGATCGTCGCGCGAACCACCTTCTCACGCGTCAAATAAATAATTAGTTCGATATTAGTATATTACACAATGTTTGAATTACAATTAGATACGACGATGAATTGGTTCACGCTCGCGCGCGCGACCTACTCTTTAATTACCCTTTGCCGCGTTAAACTCTTTTAATCGGCGTTTATAGTACACAGAAGGACGTTAATACGATTTGATTCGTTGAGGTAGATAATTTAATCAGTCTATGAAGCTGCTTTGTCGGTCGGTTTGCTCGTTATTGGCATCAATTCGCAAAACTCGATTCCGGCGCGTTCCATCGAATCAGCCTGAATATTTTCACTTAATTTGTTTAATCCTGTTCAACTCTGACAAACAATGTTAACGTCTCGAGTTCCAATTTCTTCGTTGTGTTTGTTTGTAACAACGGAACGTATATATGTAAAAGATTCGACGTATAAATATAAATATAAATATTTTTAAATCGTTTCAGAAATTTCGAAACAGGAAAATGAATAATGTAACAAAATTCCCCTTCCAAGGAAGAGTCGGATCAAGAAACGTTTCAAGAATGTTTGGTCAAAGTTGTACAAGAATCTTTTAAACCTAAGTTGTGTTGATTTTTTTTTCAATATCTTTGGGTTCGTTCGATTACCGAAACGAGATTTCGTTTCTCAACGTTTCTCCAGCAATATAAAAATCCAAAGATATCGAGTATCGCTTGTGGATCCGTGAAACTGCCGAGTCGAGAAAAAAAAAAAAAAATTGTTCCGCGAATATGCTGTTGTCTCTCATTTGACCAGGTACAAACGTTGAAGAAGGAAAGATGTTTTGGTAAATGGGAAGTGAAGCCTCATGGCTGATCAGAGTTGATCGTTCGACGAATGATCGTCGAGGACGAGTAAATTAATTCGTAACAACATGATTATATGCCCGTTTACTCTGCCTTACGAACTACGAAATAAATAATTAAAATACTTGGCTATTCGCGAGGATGGTGTGAAATATATCGCTTCACACGCGCAAGAACGACGAGAATCGTTGCTAAAAAAAAAAAAAAAAAAAAAAAAAAATTCTCATTGGATTAAGTAACTTGGCCGAAGGCGAATTCGATCTAAAAAAAACTTGGATCGACTCGATTCCAAATGCGACCAAGGTTTCCAAATATCGTAAAAATTCTAACAAATGAATGTATATGTACAATTCAATCGATCCCTTCCTCGAAACACTCAAACAAGGATCCGAAAAATTGAAACAAACAGTCTCTGCATTACTATCGTTTTTTCAGAGACATTTAAACATCTAATCTCCGATTTTTCTTAATCTTCTTCTTTCGATCTCTTCTTCGTCAAAGAAGATTCGAAAGAAACTTCGGTTCGCTCTCAACGCGACGAAGAAAACGATCGAGAATAATAATAAAATAATCGATCGAAGTATACAAGATGTACAAAGATTTCAATAAAGTCTTTTCTTCATCGAGCTCGTGTTTCTTCGCTCCCTCGTCATCATCGGATTGAATTACATTATTCGAGTTCTTAACATTCGCGACGAGTTAATTCGCCCGTTGCGTAAGAAGATTTAACAGCTCGTCGTGATCCATGCTGTTCAACGTTTGTATGTCTATGCCGAGCGCGTTCGCAACGCTCTTCATGTCGAGGCCGAAGCTTTTCAACAACTCGATGAAGTCCATCTCCTCACCGGTGAACGGGTTGTGCAGCTTCGGGCAGCTGTGATTACACTGCGGCCAAGTGCAACGTTCGATTAACCGGAAGTGGCAGCCCTGAACACACTTCCGTTTGCCAGATGGTATCACAGACCGCTGCGGCCTCGTCCCGTTGAACATGCCTGTGTGGTTGGTGTCGTTGTTCTGCTTGTTACCCTTACGCCGACCTGCAATTTCATCCGAATTTCGCCTCGATCAGCTTTTCCAACGATTCGTCCTTCTCTCGTCGAAATTTTTCTTAGAAAAAAAAATTGCAACGATCGAACGAAGAATTTAATTTATTGGCAAAAAATAGAATTTTTTCGTGCTTATCTATATAAGGATTAATAGTCGGATCGACGTATGACAATCTGTGTCTTGCGATATTTCCAATATAGAAAAAAATTGCGATTATCGTAGAAAAATATGAAATAGAAATTTAAAACGTAAAAATTAAATTTGAATAAATTGATAATATGAAACACGTACATGGAACGAATAAATATATAACGAATTTATGTTATTCAATGTAATATATGCCTATCGATGACAGACAATCATCTAATCGTAAGTAATCATCAGTAGTTTTTATTCGTTCCTTACATTTAATACGAACAAATTTACCCGTAGCTTTTCTTCGCTCGTGCTTCTCCTTCCTCGACCTCGCTTCCTTGTTCCTCTCCCTGCGTTTCCCTTTGTGCTTCCTCCTCTTCCTCTTCTTGCCCTCCTTGTCCTGCACCACCGCGTTCGACGATGTTTTCCCCGTGACCGATTTCAACGGGCCCCTGACTTTCTGCAACTCCGCCACGGACTCGCCTTTCCCGCTTCTTCCTGCCTCGGATGAAGTTCCGTTTCCCTTCGTCAACCCGGAACGCACCAACTTCCGCAACGACTTTGTGCACGGCTGGTTCGTCTCAATTGGCGAACGAGTGCTGAAATTAACAGAGGGGGAGGGGGCAAAGTCAGTCCATTTGCTGACAACTTGACAGTTTTCCAACAAACGGAACGGAGGAAATGAAACAAGAAACACTTTGTGCATATCGTGTATCTTGCGTTTGGAATTTCTCGTCCTCTTCTTTTGTACAAAGAAGACTTTTTTTCGTGTACATATTCGTTTTATTCTACATTTTTGTTTTCTCTAAAAGATTTATCTTTACTATCCTACTGAAATTTAATGTTACTTAATAATGTTTTTTTAAATGTATTTTTAGAAATATTCGATACTTACACGTTTCGATGATTTCCGATTGGCATTTGCTCCCAGCAATGCAACGCCTGTGCCAGAGAGACCTCGTCTATCTTGACCAATTGCCAATCTCTTTTCGTCAAAACGCTGTGGCTGATGCAACTTGGCGCGAAGACCGCTGTAACGTTTTCGAACGTCTGTCTCAGGCTGTCGCCCATTTTGTGTATGTAATCCCATTGTTGCTTGGTCACAGGTGCACCCACGTTGTCCGCCGACATCTGAGCTTCGTCGAACAGCCATTGGAAAACGAACAAGGGGGCTACGAATCGAACGGAACGTGTTTACAGATTTTAGAAAAGAATTCGAATCGATGCAAAGCTTGAGAGAAATTTTAAAAAAAAGAATTATCTAAACGGATAATGGATAATAATTTCTCTGCGAATTCTAAGCGATGAAATTTTCAATTACAATTTGTTGAACCGTTGTGACAACACGAGATCACGTGACGATTAATTGGATGAAGGTAGACGTTTTGCTTTACCGGTCAACGTTGGATACAGCCTGTAGCCGAAGTAACATCTCCACGGTTCGTTTCGGTGTTTGTTGACGCAATTGTGCGGCATTCGGGCCTTCCAGAGTTCCATTCCCTTGTGAACAACGTCAACCGGTGATAAACCGTTCGGCGAATACGGAGCCCTGTCGAGAAACCATCCTGAGTCGGATACGCCTCTTATCGCGATGTGCTTCAAGCCTGCGTTTACAATGGAAATTAATGCTTAAAATTTCGATGGAATAATAAGAGAAACGAAAGAAAAAAATTCGTCTTACCTAGATCGTGGTGAACCAAATTGTGCACGTGATCCAGATTCAACATGACACCGGTTCCACCCGCGCTGCTACCAGCAAGAAGAAGGGAGCTTGCGTTCTCGAGGCCAAGTGGTACGAGATCTCGTACCACTTGCAGTACAATCTCTGCCCCCATGAAGGAGAACATATCGTTCAAGGAAGCTCTGGTTCCGCTCCAACTGTCGCTCGTGCAATAAGGAACGAACCTGGGGGAACGAATTTTAGTTAGAAGTTTTCATTATTAGAAGAATTACGACTAATATCGTTGAAGGTCTTGCCAAGATGGACGATACCTACACGTGATTCGCATTCCACCAATACGGGTTCTCCTCGGGGTTCGCCGACAATAGGCCGCCAACTGGAATCGTCAACGTTTCCAAAATTATTCGTTCGATAAAAAAAATAGTACCGAAAAGATGGAAAAGATATCTTTTCAAGATTTTTTAACCAGATTGCTTTTCCTCTTTTTTTCTTTTTTTTTTGAAAATAATAGTAGAAATAATTGGAAAAATCGAGATGCGGGCATACGATCTGTTTCCTATTCCATATTTTTCCACGCTCGCTAAACCGTCACAGGTTCTGGAACTGTAGATAGAGATCGTGAACGAGCGAGGATTCTTCCGTGTGATAATAAACGAGATTGGTTTACCGCAAGCGAGATTCTACTGTAAATCCATTTCGAACTGGACGGCGATAAAAAATTCCATCACGAGCCGCGTCAAACGACTAACAAAACTGGCAGATCGCGGAACGGCAAACGAGGATGAAGAAAAGAAAAAAAAATGTCGGCTCAACGCGCGCAACTTTGAAAGCGGAAGCTTGCTCACCGTCGCGTGTCTCAGGCCATTGTGTGGACGTCATCAGATGCCTCAACCTGAGCCACCTGTTCCTACAACTCTTGTGATCGTAGCAATACCATCCACCTTCCAGGAAAATGATCCACCTTCTGGATCCGTGCGACTTTCGCAGATAGAACCCCGCCTGGGATCCGTCGTTGCATGTGATCGATCTGTTGCTCAGGTAGACCCTCTTCAGGCCCCTCTGCTCCTCGAGCCCGTACTTCTCCAGAATCTTGATCAGCTTCTGGATCGTGTTGGTCTGGATCGAAGCCGTGCCGGAGGACACCGAGACGGTGTTCCTCGGCCTCTCCTCGGCGGCTATCGTCAACACGAGGGCCGTCAGGCATATCGAGATCTGTAAATCGACCGATCCTTTTATTTATTTATTTTTTTTTTACCACGTGTTTTGCACTTTTTTTCTTCTTTTTTTTTAACGGATTAAAAACTTTCGTCACGAATCTGGCCGCGACATAATTTGTAATGAGTTCGATGAAATTTACGGACCGTTGTTATTTTGATATCGATCGTATATTCACAGTTGTAAACAATTCGGCGATAATAATGTTTCACGAACAGGTGTAATAGGCGAAAAATATTGGAAAAAATAGTGATTTGTATCTCGCTGAATGGATAATGGAAAGATTAATAGGGAGACGGGGATGATAAATAGAAGCTTTGTTTTACGAATGGAGAATAGGAGGGGGAAGGGGAAAAAAATATTGAAAAAGAGCGATTCGTATCTCGATGGTTAATCGAAGAATTAATGGTTTTTTTTCTTTTCTTTTCGGAGAAATATATCAACGAGATGAAAAGATTAATCAGAACTCAATAATGGTAAAAAGATTCCGTTCGTTACAGGCAAGCAAATTGGAATCACGTGCTTCATAAAAGAATCCTTTTTAAGGTGGACAAATTTTATTCGCGACACGTTTACTCGTAAAACATTCCGATATCGGGCACGTGGTTGGAAATCGAATTAAACGAAAGACGAGAATCTCGTCCCACGGAACCGAGTTATAAACTGGAAACGCTAGCCGAGTACGTTAATCACCGTACAGTCTATGATAATGAGCTACCGGAGAGATACCGTGGCTGAGTGAGCAGAAACTGCGAGAGCCAAGGAGATAAGCTCTTCATTTCCCACCTAGTTTGAAAATGACCATTATTCAACCTGTTAGGCGAGTACGATCTTACAAGTAAACCTGGCTACCATTTCGAACTTATCGACGACGTAGAATATTGAAATATTCGATGACCCGATGAGTAAGTTTCAACTAAATCCTCGTTGCATGGTAACATATTAATATTCTCAAGTATCGACTTTTTAAATACAAAATAAATTTTCAACTTTATAATATTCGAATTTTCGAGCGTAATTATTAATTGTTCGAGAAAATGAAATTACAATTTTTTTTTTTTTTTTAATCTATAATATGATAATTTCACGACGAGATTCATCTAGATACCGTGTTCGATTCACGGATGATTTAACATCGCCCATAATCTTCTGCCAAAATTTCGAATCACTCGGGTGTGAATGAACGATGTACCCGTAGTTGGTATTTAACGCAGATGATGCGCGATTTGACAGGTTTATATTTCTAATGGTGCAATGCACACCGCGGTGTTCACGCACGATCCCGCCATTACAAGCTCGTATTCCATCATTAGAAACGCAAACCCGTGTGTCACCGAATCGCAAAATCACACGCGTCGCGATCCAACAATCCTATCTACCTCGAGTCCAACCGGCCGTTCGCAGCCATCTCTCAAATTTCATCCACGTTCATACGCGAATTACAACCTCGTTACAACGACATTCCTGAAAGACCATGCGTAACAATTTCAAATCGGCCAATTTCCCCTCCCCTCCTCATCTTTCTCTCTCTCTCTCTCTCTCTCTCTTTCCCTCTTTCTGCCCCCTGTTTCACAGACCTGTAATTTCTTCGTCGACAGGGATTTTCACCATCGAGGGCATAGAAAGCAATAACAACGTCGGAACCGAGCGGTAACAAACGAGCACCAGGCCGCGAGAGAATAATTTAAAAGGAGGAAGCGTCGTTCATACGCGGCGCCACTCGCTCTTTCTCTTTCTGATCCTCTCGTCCCATATACAGGGTAACCCAGAACGTTATATATGCAGAGAAAGGTTTTATATATGTGCAAAAAATGAGTCGAAAAAGAAGAGATACGAATAATAATTGGTAAGAGACTATTCTACACGGTAAAAAAAAAACAAAAAAAAAAATAAAGATAAAAATAAAATATAGAATAAAATTCATTCGTTTAAAACTTAATTATCGATCGAAATTAAGATTGAAAATTTGTCGATATATACATTTTCCAATTTCTATTTTCTTCATAAAGAGTTAATTTTTTTAACATTAATTTTTGCAACATTTTATTCCAAATTATTTCCACATACAAAATTAATTATTGAATTGCTATTCACTTTAACAAATTTGTCTAGCCAGCAATCAAATTCATTACTTTTCTTTTAGTTACATAAAATTACACTGCTCACTCATACCGTTTATTTCGGGACACCCTGTATAGCAGAACTCGTGCGTTTCGCCATAACTTTTCTTCGATTTCTCTTTCTCTCTCTTTTTCTGTCTTTTATTCCGTATTTTATACACACACACACAGGCACACGCACTTATACACATTCACGCGTGTGTACAGTTGCTTTGTCCGCGCCTCTTTCTGTTAGTCCCAGGCCAGGTTCTATCGCGATGCCGGCTACTTAGGATCAAGTTCCAGGTTTCAGGACGGTAGCCGGCGGCGGAAACACCTCGGAAACAGAAGCTCGTTCTGGCGGGTAGAACGAGATGAAAGGAAGCCGCCCAGCTGTGGACGATGGAAAGGAGAAACGTTGTTGCGACGCAATTATGATCGGATATAATGGGCCGCGAACACCGGATCGCCTTTGGAGCACGTATCGAAACACGCCGCCGGCGAGAAAGAGCCCCTTTCCGAGCCCCAGGTAAAGTGGATGATTTCGACCGGGCTTTTGCTACTTGTCCAACGAAATTAACCTGTGCCCCTTTCCCCCTTCTTTTTTCCCTCCTTCCTTTTCCCCCAATCATCGTCAGTCGAAACGAACGTCCAACGAATTTATCAAAGAAAAATGGACATTTTTTTTTTCGTATCTAGTTGGAAGTGGAAGTAGTTTCGAATTACAACGTTGATTAAAATTCGTTCGATGAAATTCGATCGAGTGGAATATCGATTTAAGAGAGTTTATTACACATCCTTGTGGAATCATTCTTCTAAGGATTCTTATAATATAATAACGTAAAAAATTCTTTATCATGTAAAAAGATAATTTTCTTCGATCTTTCCTCCTCGTCGAATATACGGGACCGCATTAATCCTTTCGTAAAATCTTTCTTAACTGTTAAATCCGATCCTTATTACTCGCCGACGACGTGGCGTCGTTAATTATCCTCAAGTGGCCTCCGCTGGCCGACACAAAAAAAAGAAAAAGAAAAAAGAATATCAAAGTTCCGTTAACCACGGCTAATCCGTGGAGCGTCGTCGTAGAAACCCAACCTCCTCGGGTCGTAAATATCATTTACAACGGCAAGGTAGGAAGTCTCCTCATCCTCGACCTAGGAGAACGTTTCACGGTACGATGACACTCGTTGAAATCAAGCGGGGAAAAACCATCCTCCCTATCCCGAGCAGAATCTTTCTTCGAGAGAAGAAAACTAAACTGAATTCGATCTCTCCCCTTTCGATTTTACGAGCAGGCACGAAGCGCCGCCGAAAAACCGCGACGAATCCGAACTTTCGAGCAGATCGTAAATAAAATTCACGACCCTGGTCCCTCCCACACTTTGCGTAACCGCTTTATTATGCCATAAATCAAGCTGTCCCTGCGCGTGAACACCCGTTACCGGAACGGCCACTGTCCCGCGTTCGTGGAAATCCTCGTGAAATGAAAGAAAGAAAGAAAGAAAGAAAGAAAGAAAAAAGAGGGAAAATCTCGCCCCGGATAGGGAACACCCTTTAAAGGGTGGAAACGACGATAGCGAGGATCCGAATACCCGATCGTGTCGCTTCGATTCGACGATACTCTCCCCCGTACTATTGATTTCGGTACGGTTATGGACGTTACAAAAAGTGATACAAGAGGCTGCATTGTTGCGTGGATTTCTCCTCTTTTATCGTATTATTTCCTTTTTCTTTTTTTTTGTCGTTCCAATAATGAGAACGAGCTTAAGCTACATATAATAACTATCGATTCGACAAGACTTACAGTCGCCCAGTAAGCTGAGATTAAGTCTGTAACGCGATCCGCGAGTAAGATATTCTTTTTGGAATATGGAAAAAAGGAAGAGAATGGTTAAAAATAAAGATAATTTGAAAACTTTCGCAATTCAATTATCCCGATTAATCTGATTTTCGAAAGAAATTAATCATCGTTCTCCCGATCAATTTTCACGAGAGATGGAATTTCGTACTCTCCGTAATCCACTTCCATACCCTTTAAATTTATAATCCTTCTGGATCCGCGTATAATTCGGTTGCCTCTCAAAGAACTTGTCCCTGTGCTTATGAAAACCTCTCTCTCTCTCTCTCTCTCTCTCTTCTTCCATCTCGTTCCTCTTCTATTCCTCTTTCGCCACTCACGGGTCCCACCCCGACTGCTCCTTTTCTCTCCTTCCGTATCCGGCGCATTAGAGGGTGTTCTGGGCGTGAAGGTGTCCGTCATAATTTGCCAGGCGGCGCATAATCCCCGTGACAAAGGCCGACAAAGTGACGGCTGTTACTGGCCGCCACCCTTTATCCAACCTGCTAAGATTCCGGTAGCAGGTAAAGCGTTTAAAGATTCCGAGCCAGATAGATGAATCACGACGCGGCTCAACTGACTCCTGGCCCCAGAGGATCGCACTCTGCCGCCGTTGCTTCTGTCTCTCCTCCTTTGCCTGTTTTCGTGCCTGTGTTGCAAGCATGCACGTGTATCGATCCTTTCTTTTAACGGGTTATTACTGGTGCGATACGCTTTGCGAGTTTGATCGCGATTTTTCGATGGAAGAATTTTTTTCTTTTTCTTGTAATTCAAAGAGGAAACATTTTCGATCGTATTAATTTTACATAATATAAAATATATATATATATATATGAAAGTATAAGCGTAGTTAATCATTTTCTTTTTATCTTCGTGAATGCAATAAAATTTCACGAAAATTAATAATCAATATTCATCGTGAAAGGACACGTGTCACATACATGTATCGAACGCGTTAAAATTATTTATTTATCGTTGAATGAATGAAATAAATATTAATATTCGGTTAATTTATCAAAAATAAAAAATATATCATACTTATAATAGGAGAGTTAATT